CGAAGAATCGGATTTCGCCAGTGGGAGATTTCGCGTGTCCAAGCTAAGCGGCTGGAAGATGGACTTATGCCGGTTTCACGCTGGTCGAACAGATCGCGAACTATGTTCGTCGGCAGTGTGGATAGTGTTGGGAGCGGCGAACAGCGAAAATTATTTGCTCAGGAGGCGATACATAAAAGTTCGGGAGCTTGACTCTGTAATGCCAGATTCACGCTGGCGATGATATGCAGTTCGCGAGTTTAACTCTGTAATGCCAGATCCACACTGGCGATCGCGAGCGCTTCGCGAGCTCAGCTCTGTAATGCCAGATTCACACTGGCGATCGTAAGCAGTTCGCGAGTTTAACTCTGTAATGCCAGATCCACACTGGCGATCGCGAGCACTTCGCGAGCTCAGCTCTGTAATGGCCGTTTCACACTGGTATTCGAGAGCTCAGCGCTGTAATGTCAGTTCCACACTGGCGATCGCGAGCACTTTGCGAGCTCAGCTCTGTAATGCCAGATTCACACTGGCGATCGCGAGCACTTTGCGAGCTCAGCTCTGTAATGGCCGTTTCACACTGGCGATCGTAAGTAGTTCGCGAGTTTAACTCTGTAATGCCAGATCCACACTGGCGATCGCGAGCAGTTCACGAGCTCAGCTTTGTAATGTCAGATTGACACTGGAGTTCGCGAGCTCAGCTCTGTAATGCCCGTTTCACACTAGAGCTCAACTTTGTAATTGTAAGTGCTCGGTTCGCGAACATTTTTGGCCAGCGTGAATCAGGCATTATGCACGTGCAAGAAACGAGGAGATGGCGAGAGAAACGGGATTTGGAAGGAAAAGATTAAGAGGGAATATGGAGGACGAGTTATTACGGGCATCGGTGGAGATCCACGGGAAAAAAAAACTTTCATTTCTAGCCCCGTAAATTAGCCTGGGCCATTATGCCGTGGCAGTAATTTATCCAATCTGGTTGCAAACCGGGTGGCTCGAGGTACCCCGGCGCGTTTGTCGAAACGCGCGGGCTTTAAGGGGAATTAGGATAATTATTTAGTACTCGACCGAGCGGAAGTTTGCACCGGTCTCAGCCTTTCTTCTAGATCGCCGCGAGAACGCTTTGCAAAATTGAGGAAAGATGATTCGTCTGGCGTCGAGAGTGCTTCGTCTCTTCTGCAGAATCGGACGGTAAATTACAGATTTTTATTAAAATCGTAGACATTAAAATACGAGATTGAGGATCGTTTTCTTGATATATTCAAATTGAAGGATAATTGGAGAGAGATATTCCACGTTTCCCTGGTTTTTCGCCGCAATTATCGTTCAACCACGTAAATTCCTCCGTGAAACATCGGAATTGTCGTAATATCCTACAGTATACACACAAAGAATCTCTCTCTCTCTCTCTCTCTGTGAAAGATCCGTTCGTGTCCGTGGAATTGATCGATTTTAAAGAGACAACAGAATCGTTGCTACAGACCCGAGTAAATATCAATCTACCGTTCCGCTTTCTCCCTTTTCTTCCGTCGAATTGATTCCCCCGTGATGCCCGATGCTTGTTTTTCGTCCCGGTACGTCTCGTATTTTCCGCCTTACCTCGAATTGCCGAAAAACATTCTGGCGAACGTCGCCGGTCGAGGCGAGAGTGAAATACTGCGCGAAAGAAAGAAAACCCCATTCACCTCGCGCCACTTCTAATTTTTACCTCGTCTCACTCTTTCGCAATCGATCGACGCGATTCGTTCTTGTCTCCGCTAACCCGAAATAACACGCGGAATAATTACTTTCTCCCGATTCATCCTACCTTCAACATTTACGACAACGAAGCTTCGCGGTTGCTGTTTAAAATAAACTTTCCCCGAAATTTCTGTTCAGTTTGGGACAGGTCTGACAACCGGTGCGCCGTAGTTTCGGGGATTCAAAGGGAAATAATGGCCCCGCGGTATCAAGAGTTTGCCGCGTGCGTTTAGGGGAAGCTCGACGCGGCGTTTATTCGAATTTCATTAGCCCGAACGTGCGGCCTGAGATTCATTGTAACGCTTGGGAGACTGTTAAGCAAATGTTTTTACCGCGACTACCTTCGCGTAGGCGGCTTAATTTCTGGCCTGGTGTGAGAGTCGTAGCAATCGCGAAGGGCCCCGTTATTAAGTTCACATATACATACACATAATACAGAATATGGTGGCTCGAGGGCCGCGGTGAACCGTCCTTATAAATAACTCCTCGCGTTTAATCATCAAGAATTATGGTTTTCTAATCCTCTACAATATCTATGAAGGATCTGACGCAGTCTGGCTCGTTAAGCGCCTTCATAAATCCCGGATGCACCTGAGTACCGAGCGCTCGCTATCAACGTTTCCATGTGCCATTTGACGTTAATGCCTCCACACACGCGTTCGTTTTTCCCCCTATTTTCCTTTTCCCCTCTTTTCCGCCTAATTCGATCCAGAAGAGATTCGGACGGGTATACAGGCTCGTAAATCACGGGCAAATTTTCTGCCTAGTTATCCGACGATCCCCCC